GGGGGGAAAAAGGCGGGCGCGTGAGAGTTTGAGGGAGAGGGCGAGTAGGGGTTGGGGCGCGTGGGAGAGGGAGGGGTGGTGGGTTTCGGCGAAGTGGAAGATTTCCAGAGAGAGGTTTGGGTCGTGCTGCCGGCGGATTATGGAGGCCAGGTTGGAGGGGGTTAGGCGGCGGGGCCAGGGCTTGATTGGGGGCTGGATTGTGAAGGAAGAGGGTACGGAGGCGGCGGGGACGCTGTTCGCCGCGATGGCGGCCGCGGCCGCGGTGGAGAATGGGTGCCGGCAAGTGCGGGAGAGTGTGGACTGGAGCATATTGTTGACCGCAGAGAGTGTGGGTGTGATTTTGAATATGTGTAGACGTTGGTTATGTTGGTTGTTCGTGATTTTCATTTCCTTTTGAAACAAATGAATTGGGAATGCAAGATGATATTTGCTATGAGGGGGTATCTCAACAACAAACCGATGCATCCAAAAGCAAACCAATGAATGCAAACGTTGATGGCGTCAACAGCATCATCTCGACGCATATGATGTTTGTTTCTGGCATGCACTTTTGACTCGTTTACATTTGTGTCGACTTTAGTTATAAGAACGTTTTCGGGAGTGTCTATTATCGTTCGCATATATTTATTATCACTCAATTTTAAATTTTATAATTTGTTAAATGGCAAACATGATTAACATAAAAGGAAAAAGAATATTTCGAACTAAAAAATATTTAAATAAGACAATGATAGATGAGAGTGACACTAAATGCTGTTTTGAGCCAAACAATCTTATATCTTATATGATATACAGGTAGAAGTAAGTTCAACCGAGTTTAAATGAATTTAATATTTAACCCAATAAAAATTTAATAGATTAGATTGGGTCAAATTTATGTAAAATTTTTTTAAAATTTAATCTAATCATAAACAAATTATGTTGAATTAAATTAATCGGATTAACATAATTAAATTTATTTATTTTTTATAAAAATTTAAATATTCTAAAATCGATGTAAATCATTTAATATATTATTATAAATATAATATTATTAATTTTTAAAACTGATACAAATTTAATTTTAAAATAAATTTATTAATTTGTATATTATTATTAATTAACAAAATCAACATTAATTAATATATAAAAGAAAATTTAAAATAAATATATTATAATATCATAATTTTACTAACTTAAAACATAAAATTTGCTATTATGTAAAAATAATAGTAAATAATTTTTTGAACAAATAATCATTTAAACATTATTATTATTATTATTATTATTATTATTATTATTATTATTATAATATGTGACTGAGTTGAGGGTCATATTAACATGTTAAAAACACAAAATCTGTTAACTGAACTTTTGGTTGGATTGGATTAAATTTGATCCAAATATTAAAAAAATTTAATCTAAATTTATTAGATTAATTTGGGTCAGTTGAGGTTCGCAAATTATCCATATCCACTCACACTTAATACGATGCATTCAGTATATAAAATATATTAAAAGCCGATAAGATCATATTATATTATTATTTAACTGAATAAAAGAAAGGGAGCTTCTGATGGGTTCTGCAACAATTCACAACTATCTCTATCTAATCCACAATCTTCATTGATCCATTATAATTGATTGGCAGCAATTTTATCTTTCCCTTCTGAATATTTGGGTTCTACTTCTTCAGAGCTATCCCATTCAAAACTGTAATTGGAATTTAGGTATTCCAGAAATTTTGACTCAACATGTACGTCATTATTTTAATTCACAAAAATCTAGTAAGCTACATTAAGAAATCAATAAAAAAAAATTACAAACTTGAGAAGATACTCAAATTATACAAATATAACAATGATGAAGAGGAATTACATGGTAAGGGGAGAACTTCATGCTGCATGGCTTAATGTCTGTAGATTGTAAAACCCGCATCATACAGGTGAATAAGATGAAGTCCCCAGCATATTCTGACTCTAACTCAAAAATCAATTGACATAAAATACATTCCTTCATGGACTTCAAGAAATGAAGATCCGGGATAAAACTCGCAACAAAAAATGGGTCCCGTAGCTTTATTTTATATTCAGGTGAAATCCATATTGCGGCAAGTGGGATTGCACGAATGCGAAGGGCAGTCAATACGCTTAACCGCTTCTCGGTCAAAGTACCAATCACCAACAGATTCACCAATTGTCTGCTCCAAGGGCAACAACAATGAAGAGTAACTAAAAGAACAGCATGTCATAAAAACTACGTACAATGTAAACAAGACAGGGACAGTAGGTTTTGTTTTTTTTAATGTACGTGTTGTAATTCAGGAATTGTGTGTATTGTTGTACACACCAATCTTATTTATAGAGTGAATACAATAAATTATAGAAATACTAATCTCTTATATTATGGAAACTAATCTAATCATATCCCTAATTGATAGTGAGGATAATAACCATAATATATGTATCCACAATATTTGTAATATATTTACAATATCTGTAACACTCCCCCCCAAGCTGGAGCATATATATCATATGCACCAAGCTTGTTACAAATATAATCAACCCGAGGTCCTTTAAGAGATTTTGTGAACACATCTGCTAACTGGTCACTAGAGTGGACAAATTCAGTGGTAATTTCTCCTGAAAGCACTTTCTCTCTTACAAAATGACAATCTATTTCTCTGTGTTTAGTCCGCTCATGGAATACTGGATTGGAGGCAATGTGGAGAGCAGCTTCATTATCACTGATGAGTTTAGTTCCCTGAGTGTCTCCTATTTGAAGTTGCTTGAGAAGTTGTTGTAGCCATGTAACTTCACTTGCAGCTGCTGCCATAGCACGATATTCAGCTTTCGCAGTAGATCTAGCAACTTTAGTTTGCTTCTTGCTTTTCCATGAAATTAGGTTGCCTCCAATTAGAACACAATAGCCAGAGGTAGACCTTCTATCTGATGGTGATCCTGCCCAATCAGCATCTGAATAACAGACAATTTTGGAATTGCCTTTGTCCTCGTATAGTAGTCCTCGGCCCGGTGCCTTCTTGATATATCTGAGTATCCGCATTACTGCAGTCCAATGACTATCACGAGGATCGTTAATGAATTAGCTTACCACACTTACTGGGAATGCGATGTCTGGCCTGGTGACAGTAAGATAGTTAAGTCTGCCAACAAGTCTACGATATCTTTCTGGGTCATCCAATGGCTCCCCCTGACCAGGAAGAAGCTTGATGTTGGGATCCATCGGAGTATCACTAGGGCGGCAGTCAACCATACCAATCTCGGTGAGAATGTCCAGAGCATATTTTCGTTGGGAAATTGCAATACCAGAAGTGGAGTGAGCAACCTCGATCCCCAAAAAATATCTAACTGGACCAAGGTCTTTCATTTGAAATTGACGTTGAAGATGAGATTTGAGGCGACAAATACCATCGGAGTCATCACCAGTAATGACAATGTCATCAACATACACCACTAAATAAATACAAATTCCAGATGAGGAGTGAAGGAAGAAAACAGAGTGGTCAGCCTCACAACGAGTCATACCAAACTCAATCAAGGCAGAGTTGAAGCGTCCAAACCAAGCACAAGGAGATTGCTTCAAGCCATAAAGAGAACGACGAAGACGACAAACAAGGTGAGTCTCACCAGAAGCAATAAAGCCAGGGGGTTGATCCATATAAACCTCTTCTTGCAATTCACCATTTAAAAAAACATTTTTAATATCCAATTGGTGTAGTGGCCAATGACGAATTGCAGCCATAGCAAGAAACAAGCGAACAGAAGTCATCTTGGCGACAGGGGAGAAAGTATCTCCATAATCGAGGCCATAGATTTGAGTATAGCCCTTTGCAACCAATCTCGCTTTAAAGCGGTCAATGCTACCATCTGGTGCAACTTTCACTGTGTACACCCATCGACAACCAACAGTAGACTTGTCAGGTGGTAAAGGTACCAACTCCCACGTGCCACTAGTCTGCAAAGCATCCATTTCATCCAGCATCGCCTGTCTCCACCGAGAATCAGCCATAGTTTCACCTGTAGACTTAGGAATAGACATAGAATCCAAAGAGGAAACAAAAGAAAAGTAGGAAGGAGACAATCGATGACAAGAAAGAGTACAAGCATATAAAGGATGATGATTGCGAGTAGTTCGAATACCTTTATGAAGGGCAATAGGTAACTCAGGAAAAGGATGTTCAAGTGCAGGAGGCGTCGCTAGAGAGTCGGTTGGAGCAAAAGATGAAGCTGGGGGAGTTGTAGATGGAACCACCTGCGGATGACGTGTCCTACGTTGATAGACAAGTAATGGTGGTGGATCAGTTACTACAGCCGGAGCCGGAGGTGGAATAGTAGGTTGATCATCCAAAGAAATATGACTAGTAATATCCTCAGAAAAGAAAGGAGAGGATGACTCAAAGAAGGAAACGTCAGCGAAAACAATATAGCGTTGAAGTTGTGGACAAAAACAACGATACCCTTTTTGAAGTCTAGAATAACCAAGAAATATATACTTGAGAAACTTAGCAGAAAATTTATCTTTACCTGGAGTGAGATCATGAACAAAACATGTACAACCGAAGACACGAAGTGGAACAGGATAGAGGTCTTTTTGTGGATACAAGATGGTGTATGGGATTTGATTGTTGAGAACAGAGGAGGGCATACGATTAATCAAGTAACAGGCAGTAAGAATCGCATCACCCCAAAATCAAAGTGGAACTTTGTGATGAAGGAGAATAGTACGAGCTGTCTCAACCAAATGACGATTTTTGCGTTCAGCTACACCATTTTGTTGTGGTGTGTGGGCACAAGAGGTCTGATGAAGAATACCTTGGAAGGAAAGAAAAGACTGGAATTTTGAAGATAAATACTCTTTTGCATTATCAGTGCGTAAGATTTTAAGAGATTGACCAAATTGAGAAGCAATTTCAGTGAAAAAACTTTGAAAAATATGAAAAACGTCAGAACGGTGTTTCATTAAGAAAACCCAAGTACAACGCGAAAAATCATCAATAAAGGTAACAAAATAAGAATAACCTAAAGTTGAACAGACTCGACTAGGTCCCCAAATATCGGAGTGAATCAGGGTAAATGGTGACACAGCACATTTATTGACACTAGATTGATAAGACTGACGGACATGTTTCCCTAATTGACATGACTCACACTGGATGTTTTTAACGGTAGAAAGGCTAGGAACTAAAAGTCGTAATTTCTCCAAATTGGGATGACCAAGACGTTGATGACCAAGGGCGGCAGAGGTGGAAACACACGCAATCGGTGATGAGAGACGATACAATCCCCCAGACTCATGTCCTGCTCCAATCGTCTGTCCAGTACGCCGATCCTGAATAAGAACAGAATTATTAACAAACAACACAGAGAAATCAAGGGTACTGGTGAGTTTGCTAATGGAAATTAAATTAAAAAGACAACCAGGAACAAACAGAACAGAGTGTAAAGGGAGGTGAGGGAGGGGGTGAATTTGACCAATGCCATGAACTTTAATTTGAGAACCATCGGCAAGAGTAACAGGTGGCAAGGAGTCGGAGAAAGACAATTTAGAAAAATAAGATTGATTACCAGTCATATGATCAGATGCACCGGAGTCAAGAATCCAAGGTCCAAGAGAAGGAGACTGAGACATAAAGGCTACAGGATTACCAGAGTGAGCCACGGTAGTGACAGGCGAGACAAATTGTTGGGCTGCTCGAAGCTAAAGAAGATCTTGATAGTCAGAGGCGGAAATAGTGCCATCTGTAAGAGAGGAAGAGCCGGCAGAGGAGGTAGTATTGGGCACATGAGCAACATTCGCTGATGATGACTGTTCTCGGGTCTTTTTGCGACAGTTGACTTCAAGATGACTAAAGAGGTGGCAATAATTGCAACGACGATTCTGTTTTCCACGTCCTTCGTTACGTCCACTACCACGATTAGATGAGTGAGAAACAAGAGCAGAGGAGTCTGCAGCAGTTGCAGAAGGAGTAGTCACAGTATGAGAGATGGAAAGACGCAACAATTGTTCACTAACAATGTCGTACGTAGGAATAATAGGGGCAGACAAAATCTGATTACGAACAAACTCAAGCTCAGGAGGAAGACCAACAAGTGCAAGAATCATGAAGAACTGGTTTTGCTGTTTCTCAAAGCTCGCCACATCAGAGGGGTAAGGCAGTAAATTATTGTAATAAGCAATCAAACGGTCAAGCTTACTCAAATATGTCTGTATGTCCCTATTCTCAAGTTTAGTGGTCATCATAGTGGTGATGACATTGTAAAGACGTTGAACATTATTAGCGTAAACTTTCTTGGCCTTGTGCCAAACATCGTAACATGTGTCAAATGCTTGATAAGAATGTTGAAGGTTCGGAGCAATAGAAAACCAAAGAACCGTACACAGTGAGGCATCAATTTGTTGCCACTGCTCACGGTTATCGGTAGTAATTGCAGAAAAATGAGTGGTTAAGTGGTCGGCACGTCCTTGACCACGAAACCAAAGCTGAACCGTAGCTGCCCAAGTGGTATAATTGGCTTCTCCGATCAACTTTTAACAAGGAATTGGAGGGATGTTGGTAAATGTCGTAGTTGAAGTAGAAGCAGCCATGAAAAACGAATATCAGTGGCGACCGGAGGTCGTTGATATGGACGACGGTCGGAGGTGGGTGGCGGCGGCG